GGGTATAAACAGGTGGTATGCCCCATACTTCTTTGCTTGGACAATAGAAGAACAACGCTGAATCAAGCCAAAGGCTAAACTAGCCCATCAGTGTGTACACAGTGTGCAACAAGCAGAAGTGGGCACCGCCTGGCGCCCTCCCACTCATGGGGTCCAGCGGCTGGCACCAAGATGCATATGACCTCTGATCCTGGATGGAGGGAGCCTGTGCCCATCAGGACTAGTAACCATGGATGGCCTTATCCTCCATGAATTTTCCTAACCCTGTTTTAAGTTCATCCCACAGTGGCCGATTCCACCCTTTTAACTATGTGAATAAGCCCTCCCACTTGTCTGGCATAAATCTCCCACGCTTCAGCTTCATGGGTTGATTCTGGGGTCTAGTATTCTAGGATGCAATTTAATCATCTGTATGGAACTGGAAAAGTATGAGCTGCAAGGAACTGTAAATGGGATTTAGAAAAATATTCAGCCATGTGGAAGTACTGAGTCAGTAGGAATGCATTGTGAGGACCCTCAAATTCTTTAGCTAATTATGTTCACTGCTAAAACGTAGAGCCCAGTCTGTTGTCTGTTCATATCCCATACTGATAGGGAACTTATTCTACAGAGGAAAATGTCCAAGGATAAGCCACTCATTTGATGCAATTGTGTGCAATTCATATGCAAAGGACTTGCTTCACAAACAGAACAGTATGAGGCACAGGTGTGGCTGAAACCCTGAGCTGAGTGTCTGGTGAAATGGTCACAAATAATTATCATTCATGAATAGATGCACTAACATGACAAAAGCCACAAATATGGTCATGTTAAATTTGGCCCTCTGGCCTTTTAAACTACTAAGTGGTGGAAAGAGTGAGTCATTGGCTGTGTGATTTAGCCATAATTTCCATGGTGATGTTATAGATCTGGTCGATGCAGATGCTAGATTCTTCAGAAACTCGCCTTTCCACATTCTTTCCAAATCACAATCCATTTCCAGCAGCTTTGCAGGTCCAAAGTTGTTTTACTGTAGCCTGAATTATTCCAACCAAACCACATTCTCAAAGCATGCATGAGGTTGTGTGTGCAAAAGCTAAGCATTTGGTGCATAAGAAGAACTGTTGCTAGCTGTCTTGTCCGGGCACCATCCGCAGGACTAGCCACTTTTGCTATGCTGGGAAAATCAGATGAATCCTGGGAGAAAGAGATTACTTATATGTGCCTTTGTGTTATAAAATCAAATCTGTACCTCTTTCTCACAAAGCAGCAGAATCCCAATCCAGATTACTGTTTAGCATTGCTGTTGCCTTAAGAAGATGGCATTATTACCTGGTCTGAGAAGCTGCTGGAGGCTAGTACTGTCAGTGGGGAAATACTGGTGTTCAGACCGCTGAGACAAAGATATTCATTTGTTCTGAATGGACCTATTTATTAATCTAGCTCAACAGAGGCAAGCACCTGTGCAGTGTAGCTATCAAACCAGTATTCCTGAATGATTCCTCCATCAGACATATTTGCATGTTTAAACAGACACACAGGCTGACCTGAACTGTCAAGAATTTACTAGATTGACCTATCTATAAAGCAATCAGTAATGTTTTCCATACTATTGTTAACAATGTTTTCTAACTGGCTAAAACATTATGTCATGCTTAAAGACATTAAGATGCCTTTGTAACCCTAGTCTGAGAAAGTGTAATACTCTGTCTTGTGTACGTGACTTGCAGATCATAAGTGTCATGCACATGGTGGGCATGTCGTGAGCCGAGCTGGCCGGAGCCAGGGGTCAGACTAGATGGCCCGAGAGGTCCCTTCTGACTCGCTCTGTTTCTGTGTTTCTATGTCTGTACATGGGCTGTAATTTTGTAGTTGAGTTTGCCTCTACCTGGTTATCATTAGTGACTGCAGGTACTGGGGCACTGGTCAATAAAGGTTCAAACGTTTGATCTTTTCCACGGACCCTAGTGCTCATTTCCTAACAAACTGAAAACCAAGATTCTGACAGCTGCAACAAACCTAAGAAAGCATCTAATAGCGCCTTAAACGTTTTGCATTTATTGTGACTTAAGTTTTCATGCACTAGAATGTTCCTCCTCCAGTGCATGAACTGAGCATAATCATGTCAGCTCAGTAAGGAAGGGTTGAGCCACACTATGGGTAAAATCCTATGCACGTGCAGACATTTTAAAAATACTGAAGCCATGCATTCTGGGACATGCTGGGAACTGTAGGACTTTTTTTCACTTCCACAACGTTGTGCCCTAAATTGGTTAGCATTTAAGTGCCATAAGATTTGAATTGTTTCGGTTCTGGTGCAGTCAAAATGAATGGGCCAGTAAATGTATGTTTCTACATGAAAGCATTAACGTCGAAGTTTTAAGGCGCATTTTCTAGCATGAGAGAAACCCTTTTATTAGGAGAGGAACGTCTTGCTTTTATTATCCTGTATGACTCTCCCGCCCTACTCATAAAAGAAGCGTCAAGGCGCCCTTTTAATCTTCTCATCGGTCAAGCCGCATCATCCCTTTCACTCTCCCGCCCTCGCTACCACTGAGGCCGTCTCCCCAGAAAACCCACCCAATATTTTGAACTTCGACTCCCATCAGCCCTAGCCAGCAAAACCAATAGTCAGGAATGCTGGGGATTGTAGTCCCAAAGCATCAAGTGGCGGAAGTGTAAGTGGGGGAGGGAAGACAAAAGCCCGCCTTTCTTCACCACGTGACCTAGGCTACCCGCTCTGGGACGCAAAGGGGTAGATCCTTCATAGTACCCTTGAGCCGGGAGAGGGCGCGCGCGTGCGTGCACGCACACAACCCTCCTCCCCTTCCCCCACTCCTCCATCCGGGACTCTCACACCGAGGAGGCTCGAGACCAGGGAGGGCGAGTGCGCGCGCACACATTCGCGAAGAGCTTAAAAGCGCGGGCCCGGATCTTCACGCGGGCACTTGCGCATGCGCGCTCGCGCGCTCTCCGCGGCTCCTGGAGTTTGCTGCCAGGCGAGGCAGGGCGGCAGAAGCGGCGGCGAAGGGGGTGGGTCTCGGCTCGTTGAGGCGCTGCTGCTCCTCCGCCGGCGGTCGTGCCCGGCTGGTCTCGTGGGGGGAGCGGCGTGGAGGGACGGCGGCGGCGCTTTTCCTGAGGTGAAGGCGACGGTGAGTGTGCGGGTGAGCCAGCGGGGAGACGACTTTGCTCCCCTCCGCAGTGTTTATCCCTCTTCCCCTTCTTATACCTCCCCCAGACAGTCGCGCAACACTTTGGGCCAGATGGGGTCTTCTCTGCCCTGCGTCGCCTCTTGGTAGCCCGCTCTGGTGCTGCGACCTCCTGTTTCCTTGTCATCCTCTCTTGCTACCCTTGAGGCCGCCCCGCCCCCTCCCCATTATGCGATCTCCCTCCCTTTGCACGGACCATTCCCTCCTCGGCCCCCCCACGGCTCCTCTGCTTGCGGTCTTCTTGCCCACCGGGCTCTCCCCGCTCTGTATGGGCGCGCACACGCCCACTTCCCACCGCCACGCAGGTGTAGCCTCCATGGTCAGAGGCAGTCTATCGCTCCGGAGGAGGCGGGGTGGGGAAACAGGCAGCATCAGAGAATGATCTCTCGCCCGTCTTCTTGAGCTCCCTGTGGGCTTCCTGGAGGCATCTGTTCAGCCTCTCTTGCAGCCGACATGCGGACTAGAAGGACCCCGGGCTGCGACTCATCCAGCAACGCGATTCGTATTTGCGGGGTTATTAGTACACACCGGCGCACAAGCTCGAGGACCTGTTGTGCCTCTTGCTCTCCTATCCTCCTGGCTTCCTGCTCAGCCCTTAGAAGGGCATTGCGTCCTTAACTCATCCCGTTATCAGTTCCTAATGCCATTCCCCAGTGGAGCTGCTGTCTCATGGTTCCCGTTCTAACCGCCCCCCCTCCCGCCACGAAACTCGCTCTTCCATTGCAAAGATGATGCTTCTCCTCTGCTGCCTCCCCCCACTCCCTCTGTGGGCATTAGGCTAGCAAGCTGTGTCCTCCTTTTGCCTCCACAATGCAGAGACTCTGCCCCCCTCCCGTGCTTTATTTCACCTTATTCAAGGGTAGATTGCCTTTTTCCTTGTTATCCTTACTCAATAGGACATACTACTGCCCTCCATTTCCTTTCCATTGCTCCAGGATTTGTTTTCTCCCTTATTTTCTCTACACATAATCTCTTTTGTGTGTGTTTCTAGGCATTTCTTAGAGTGTTTCCTCTCTTAAAGCAACTTGTTGCCCTGCATGTTTGTGAGATCTGTTGTTCCCATGCCCTCATCTCTGGTTTTCCTACCCCGTACCCTTTATATTTGCATCTTTACAGCTTGTTCCTGCCTTTGTCCTTTGCCAAACAAGCCAGTCCTTTCTTCTGGTTGTCCACCTTCATTTTCAGAAGGGTTTCATTTATTTTTACTACCCCCCCCCCACTTTATTTACTTCTGCTCAGTCCAGTTCATGTTTCTTGCTGAGCTCACCCCAGTTTCTTGCCCTGTCTATTGTTCTATCTGGTCCCATTCATCTTGACCTAGGCATAAATAGGAACCTGTAATTTCCCACTACACAAATGAAACATGCAAGGCCTTGGACGTGAATGAAACATGCCAGATCCCCCAAACCTCTACCTCCAACAAAGAAGTTGGAGAATTTGCCTCAAGCTTCCATGTGCACTTTCCTGTGACATGTCAACTAAGAACTTCAGCTTTTTTAAACAATAAGTTTTACAGTATTGAGCCAGAATTAAACATGGTTCAGATCCTGTCTCATTCAGACGCTAGCATTTAAGCATATCATAATTAAAAACCGGAAGCAGATGTTTCCAGTCTTCTCCTCTGGCATGCAGTGGGGTGTGGGATGCACAAGCCTAGAATCCACAGCAACTTGTTCATCTAGTGGCAGCCTTCCCAACCTGGTGGCCTTCAGAGGCATTTGGACTGCAACTCCCAGAATTCCCATCCAGCAGGGCCATTGACTGGGAATTCTGGGTGCTGCAGTCCAAATGTGTCTGGAATGCACAAAATTGGGGAAGGCTGATCTTGTGGGAAACCATGGTTTCCCATTACAGCTGAACTGGTAATCTGATAGGGTGGTGCTTTTTCCTTCTTATCCTCAAGAGGTGTTAGTAGAAACAATAGGTGCATTGAAGAGAATAGAGTCCCTTCCTCCCATTAGGAAAGAAGCAGAGCCTTTTTGCCTATCTGTATTATAATGTATTCTTTCCTTATTGATCACTATGGATGGGTCTGTTATTACAACCAAAAACATCATATGCACAACAGATTTAAACATAGTTAAATATTCTTTGGAGCCTCCTTGAGGATGCAAAAGATAATGTCTTAGTAGAAGTGGGAAATAATGTCAAACCACTTTCATTGTAAGTACATGTATTTCTCATTATTATAGTCTGAGAAAGCCTCAGTTTAGTAGGATAAGAATAAACTTAGGAGATGTTTGTTCATTATTCAAATTGGTCAGTTTACAAATGTGTCATCCCAAAGTCACATTTGTATGTTGGGGACAAGTGCTGGTAGATTAACAGTACAATCCTGTGCTTGTTGATTTGGAAGGAAGCCTCATTGTGTTGTGTGGCAGTTGCTGTCATGAAATTGTGCATAGGGTTGCAACCTAAATAGCCAAACCTATTCAGTTAGGAATTACTTTCATTTTCTTTTATATGCACTTTAATCAACAAACATATTTGCTGTTGTTCTTTAACCCACAGCAATACAAACAGCAGAAACTCATTTTCAGTAAAATGTTTGACAGGATATTACTTTTCTTTAAAATCCTTTTTCTGAGCTTTACTTTCAGCATCTTCCCTAGACAAAAAGATGTACTGTGACAAATTTACTTCTGTAAACAGTACAGTTTACTTTTTAATTTCATCAAAAATCTATCCTAGTACAATAGAATATGGTAATTCAGTAGGTCATGTATGATTTGGGTACTGAAGCTTGATGGGATTAAGAAAATTTTGGCTTTCTTTGGAAAACAACTGTAGCTTTTTCTGAACATAAGAAGAGCCATGCTGGATCAGACCAAGAATCCATTTGGTTCCTCTTTCTGTTCACACAGTGGCCAAGCAGCTGTCAGTGAGAAATCTGCAAGTGAAATCTGCAAATGACACTATGCCACTCAGCTTCCTCCACAACCTGTATGCAGAAGCATCCAGTCGAGGTGATACATATGACTAGTGGCTATCGATATACAAATTAATGGAGGTTAAGGCTAATCCCTTTTTTAAGGCCATCTGAACTGGTCGTCATCACACTTTCCTGTGGTAATGAATTCCCTATGCTAATTATGTGCTGTGTGAAGAAGTGCTTCCTCTGGCCTCTGTCTGCCATCATTCAGCTTCATGGGAGGACTCTGGGTTTTAGTGTCAGAAAAAAACATCTACAAGCCCTGCAACATTTTCTACCGCTCAATCAAAGCTTATTTTTTAGATTTTACATTATATGATAGAGTTTCTGCAAACCTCAAAACAGGCTCTTAGGGCAGCTTAGAATGCAAAGCTTAATTAAAAACCGTGTTACCATATAATAGTTATTGGCTTGCAGTTCCATGCCATATATAGCATTTGAAATGCTTTAAGGTACAGGAATACAGTTTTGACAGATCTGTGTTCCTTTTTAAAGAAAAAAACTGCTGAAAATAGTTACAACAAATATTTTGTTTTCAAAATTATGATTATTTCCTATATGGTTTTGATTTGCAAAGCTTGAAAAATATTCATCAATTCATTCTCCCTGGATGCCTCTGGTCTAGTCAGACTCTCAGGCTAACCTACCTTACAGATTTGTTGTTGTGAGGATAAGATGGAGTGACAGGACTATGTAAGGTGCCTTGGATTTCTCAGAAGAAGAAAAAAGGCAAAGCATAAATTATTTTTATTATCATTTCAAAGTTCTTTAGTATATTTTCATTTTAAGTACTTTTCTGCAATATTTGCAACCAATCCTGAACACAAGGCATTTCTTTCAATTACCAATTCTTTGTTACAAAACTGTAATGAACAATCAGGAAATTCATAAAATTTCAAACTCCTGATCCAATCTGTTAGTCTTTTTATTAGATTAAAAGAAGAAAGGAGACTGGAGCCAATTTATATCCTATTAATGGGTACAGATTCTCTTGAAGAACCTTGCAATTGTCAGTCTATTGTTATCTATTTGTAAATGGAAAATCTGAAACAGAGGTCATTTAAGGTTACTTATGTCATCTCGGTTCAGCAATCCACAAAGCTGAAAATCACTGTTCTGTATTGGAGATGTAGCCTCCTTTTCACTGGATAACACAACATATTTTGCTGCATTGTAGATTTCTCAATAGATCAGCATTTTCTTTCTATTAAAAGTCTTTATGCTAGAAATGTTGCTTTGTAATCCTTCTTCCTAAAGAAAGCAATACTGTTACAGAAAGCAAGAAACACTGCTCTTTAATTATGGTCTTGATTCTTTAAGCAAATTATTTCAGTTTCTATGTGTTCCTCTTTTCCTCAGTGCCTGTATCCTCAGTTTAAAGAAGATGAAATGCAATATTAGGGGCTTTTAGGGCTGTGTACTAAAACTCAGCTAACAATATGAACCTCCAGCATTCTGTGACTAATGAGAAACACCCTGATTTGCAGTAAGTAATTTGACTGTGAAAAGTTTCTTACAAACTTAACAGTTTTTGTTCTTGAGATAGCAAAAAATCCTTTCTACTCAACCACACATCTTACAAGCTGATTATCTACTTATCTATCTATGTTGGATACTCTTAAGTCACTGGGCCTGCAGGATGACTGTTGCTGCAATTTTATTTCTAGGGTTTTTTTCTGCATGATGGTCCTTGCATTCTCTGAAGCTTTTATGAATGAATCAGTTTATCAATGAATGGCAATCTCATACTTTTCACAGTTCCTTTTCTTTTATTATATACATTGATGAATAAAACTGAATCGTATCTTTGGAGTGGCCAGATTTAAAAGAGGATAGGTCATCTGTACCTTTAAAAGAAATTTCAGCAGGTACAGGTTGTCATGGTACCTACACCTTCTGACATCCCCTCTTCTATTAAATGTGCAGGAGCTCTGTCCAATTTAGCAGCTGGCCATCCTGTAATCTATTCCCACTTCACTTTACCATAGATTTTTGGTACATTGTGACTTATGTGTTGCTATAGCAAAACCCCTGATTCTGCATGTCCCAGCCATACTTGACCAGTTGAGTAAACCTCATTTTGATCTTCCCTCTCCACCTCAGTCCCAATAACAGTATTTCTGCACTGAAGATAAGCGAATTAATTTTGCATTCTTTTTTCCCTACATGCAAACTAACTTCCACAATCATTGGAGAACATGATTTCCAATGAGCGAGGCAAAGCGAAGGAAGAGAAGACCTGTGCCAGACTTGTTCTTGTTTCAGTTTGATTCATGTAGCAATAGGCTAATACTTATACTGCAGCCGATCCATTGGGCTGATGTAGAGAAGTGCAGAGGAACAGCAAAAGTTCTGTTTGATGTTGTGTGTTTTTTGCTTTAACACCAATTATTGGAGCACCAGTGATATCAGCATTGTGGTGAAGCAGCTTGAAGATGCATGTTAGGATGTCCTGGTGGAATCCTTGATTTTAGGTATTTTTCAAGCTGAAATATAATGATCAGACAAATTATTGGCTTGTGTGTGGTATTTATTTATTATATTCTACCTTTTTTCCTCTTGAGGAACTCAAGGTGGCTTACATAACTGTCCTTTTCCTCCTCAGTCTTATCCTTACAACAACCACCCTGTGTGCTAGGTTGGGCTGAGAGCCTGTGACAGGCCCAAAGTTACCCAGTGAGCTCTATGGCTAAGCGGGGACAGCAAGCCAGATCTCCTAACCACTATATCAATCTTGCTCTCAGATGCAATTTTGTAATTCTAGAATGCATGTATCTGGTTCATATAATTTGTGAGTAGGGTGGTTGACCACTGTAAGACATAGTATCAAAGTAGATAAATGTATTCAAATATGACAATTTTTTTTTACAAAGGGGTTCCTTAGATATTGAAAGTGGGAGAATATTATTGAAAGTTAGCTAGCTGAGCTGCTTTATTTCAAGGCTGGAAACATGTGCAAGGGGAAACTGATAATACTCTTGTAATGGTATCCAGTAAATGCCATTTTTGACTAGCCGAGCTAGCAAATCTCCCAAAACATGGTGGTCAGCAGGACCTAACTTGGCTTCGCACAGCAGTTCTCTGCCATGCTCTGTGTAAACAGTTTTGGTGGGTTGCTTGCCAGATTGGCCAATTTCAGGTGAGGTACTCCAGGCTCCAGATCAATAAGCAACCAATTAAGCACTCAACCTTGGAGTTGGTGGGAGGGCTTGGGATTGCTAGGCAGCTGCTGGAACAGTTTTCACACACCTTAAGAGGTGGGCAAAAGGCTGGTTGCTAATCATGCTTACCAGAAGGCAGCCATTTACATTCCATGGCAAGTGAAAATGTTGAATCCTGAATCATAATTATTATTGTGAGCTTCCTATTGCATATAGGAACTGGAAGGTTTTACAAGAATAATTAAGTACAGCAGTGTAAGTTCAACCGTCCTGAGGCTTGTGCAAAGGATGGGGTAGAAATGTTTCAATTAAATTAAAATTAAATTACAGCATACTTACACTGTTTATTACATTTATATCCCACCTTTTTTTTCTCCCAGGAGCCCAAGGAGATTAACATGATCATTCTGTTTTATTCTCATAGGAACCCCATGAAGTAAGTCCATGGAGCCCATTTCAGTGAACTTGCATTCCTGTTTTTATGTCCTCCAAGAATATATCCAAAAGAATCTGTTTTGCCAACCAAATGTAAGAACATAACAAAAGCCATACTGGATCATACCAAAGGGCCATCTAGTCCAGCACTCTGTACACACAAAAGCAACCAACTGCCCACAGGATTGCTCAGGCAGGATGGGCACAAGACCTCCTCCTGCTCAGCACCTCAGCAGCTGGTGTATGAAGCTATGTCACCTCTGGTGAAGGAAGTAGCACATGTCCCACAAGGCTAGTAGCCACTGGTAGCCTCTTTCCTCATGAATTTGTTCCATCCCTTTTTAAAGCCATCCATATTGGTTGTCATCACTACATCCTGTGGCAACCAATTCCACGGTTTAACTATATACTGTGTGAAGAGATATTTCCTGTTATTCTTCGTGGTCTCTGTATCACACACATGGGCTCTTCGTGCATGCATGGAGCGATTTTCAGAAGATTCTAAAGCCGCCTAATTAGTATTTGGTGGGAGCCCGGCCCCCATATGCAGCTAGCATGAGGGCGGAGCTCTGGGCAAGGCCTCAGTTCTTCGACCGCCATTGTGAGCGCATTGGAAAGTTCTTCTCCAACTTACCTCATGAGCTATATGTAAAGCTCCCACTGGTCAGGTTTCTTTTTTTCTCTGTAACTTCTATTGCTCGAAGCACAAAAGAAAGTTATTTGTCGCCCTCGCCACTTGCAGGCAATGGCACTCAAGGCTGGTTTCCACAACTGTACCTCATGCGACAGTAAACTCCCACCAACTGATGGCCACTGTTTGTTTTGCTTGGGAGAGTCCCACGTAGTCAAGTCTTGCTATGGCTGTCAAGCTTTTACAAAGCAGGCGAGGAAGCACCAGGCTGGCCATTTAAAAGTGGAACTTTGGAGCTGCGCTTTACACGCCAAGGACCCTCAGCTGTCTACTTCTGCAGCTTTGGCTCAAAACCCAGACATTGCCTCCTCCACCAGCGAAAATGCCCAAAGCAGCAAAACAAAAGGCGGAAAAGAAAGCAAAGCCACCGAAGTCGCTTACCCTTATTAAAGAGAAGGGAAGCGCAAAAGCGCCCATTCGCACTCCGAGTTGTCAGTACGTAGTAGCATCCTGCCGCAAAACCAGGAGGACCAGGGACAATCCCTACAACTCTTCCAACCTTCAAGGAGCACTTCAGTGTCCAAAAGAGAGATCCGGGAGTCACCCATTCAGCCTCCTCAGGCACAGAGCTGAGCCTTGCCTTCACCCTCGATACCAAGTGTATTTCTCCAGCCCAAGAACCAAAGAGCCAAGCGACGCTCTCGATCTTCTCCAGCTCAGACCCCCACATAAAAGACATTGATCTCCCCCAAGGGGATTTCGATTCTGAGTTCTATGTAGAATGCTGGGGATCTGTCGGCTCAAGACAAGGATCCCACTGGAGCCTGTTGGGTTCAGAAAATGACCCCCTGTCCGGTCCCAGCTCTCGCAATACATTCCAGCAACTGACTTGAGTCCCTGCCAATCTTCTACAGTTCGCAGATAGACCTCCGAATTCCTTGCTCAGCCATCGTACTGATCGAACTAAAGGCCTCTCTGAACAAGGGCAATATACCTTGGTCTCAATGGCATCTTCTCTGGATCGGCATTCTGATGCTCCTCCTGGTCTCATGATGACCTCAGACCTGTCCCAGCCACTTGAGGATACTGGATTCTTCGCATCCCAGGTTTTTCGAATGGCCCATAGTCTAGGTCTTGATATTAGACAAGAACCCTTGAGAGCTAAAGAACCCATTCTTCAAGGCTGTCTGTGCAGAGTCTGCTGGACCCGTTACTATACTACTCCTCCCAACTGTGCCGGATGCAATCCATCATGAATGGAGATCCCCAGCATCTGTGGCCCCGCCACTGCGCCACCTCAAGAATTTATTTTGCGTTCAAGAGAAAGACGCTGAATTCCTATTTCAGCACCCTAGGCCAAACTCTATCATTGTAGAGTCCGCCCAGTCTCACTTCAGGGGGGGAGCATGCCACCCCGTCTGACAAGGATGGTAGGCATCTTGATGCCATTGGTCGCTGCTTTTACTCCTTGTTGGCCTTGTCTATAAAAATGGCCAACTATCAAGCTGCCATGGCCAGATATCACCTCATGCTTAGGGATAGAATGGTGTTCCTATGCTATTTGCTACTGAAGCATGCCCAAGGTCTGGCAAACGAAATCAAGAATGAGGCGATGCACTTAGCCAGACAAGAGATTCTTACATTGTGACATCAAGTTGAGGGTGGTGCTCACAATATGGCAGGAGCAATAGGTCTCAGTTGCTTCGCATGGCTCCAGTCCTCCGGGCTGTCAAGGGAGGTAAAAGCACATAAAGAAGACATGCCATTTGATGGTGCTGGCTTGGTACATAAAACCACCGATGACCGAATGGGCTCGCTTCGAAAGGCCTGGGATGCTGCTCACCGCATGGGATTAATCAGTCGGTACCCCAAAGGCAATATACTTCACATAAGTGTCACAGATCTTCCTACCAGCCTAGGACCCCTGCCACCACTACTACTAGACAGCATACAGCCACTCAGCCTAGACGCCAAGATTCCTGTTCTCGGGTTTGATATTCCCGGAGGTGCCCAGACGATTCCAGGAGGCACCTGTGACTCTTTCATATGTCTCACATTGGCTCTGCTATATTCAACCACTGACTCCAGCCCTTTCTCCACACCTGGGCTGCCATAACCGCAGACTCATAGGTGCTTTCACTCATTGCCCATGGATACCGTATCGATTTTACTACACCCTCGCTAAAACGAACACCTCCATCACCACCTCTATTACAGGAAATTTCTTCCCTGTTTCATAAAGGAGCTATTGAACTTGCACCATCAAAAAATCCTCGATTCTATTCCAGGTATTTCACGGTACTGAAGAAAGACAGGGGTCTTCGTCCTATCATGGACCTCCATTCTCTGAATAAGTATATTCTACCCAAACGTTTCAGGATGGTATCTCTCCAGACCATCCTTCCCCTTGCTCTCTGAAAGTACATGGTTCATATCCGTTGACTTGAAGGATGCTTATTTTCATATTACGATTGAGGAATCCTATAGACGCTTCCTTTGGTTCCAGATAAACGATAAACATTTCCAATTTACTGTTTTCTCCTTTGGGCTGGCAAAGTATTTATGAAATGCATGTCGGTGGTCTGTGCGTTTCTCCTCCTCTGAGGTGTCAATGTATACCCCTACCTCGATGACTGGCTTATTGTAGCTCACTCACATGAAGCTTCCATCAAGGCGACTCCGCTAACCTGCTCCTCCTTTCCAGTTTGGGACTTTACATTAACACAACTAAATCTCACCTTTCTCCTTTGCAGTTGATAGACTTCATCAGAGCCAGGCTCAAGTCAATGCCAGTGAAGGGCTTCCTCTCTTGGGACAGACTCCGTACCATGTCCAGGGAGGTCCAATCCCTAATCGATACCTCCACACCGACTGCAAAATTGATCCAATGTGTATTAGGACTCATGTCTGCACCAATCCCAGTAGTTCTGCTGGCACACCTCTTCATGAGACCTCTCCAGCTCTGATTCCTGGTGTTCTTCAACCCAATGATACAGTCACGCCATATCATGCTCCATCTTCCTCCACGGGTCTGGAATTCGCTGCATTGGTGGACAAAGATGACTAATACAGCTATTGGACTCCCTTTCTCCCCTCAGGACCCTCAAGCAATTATAACAGATCCCTCCCTCCTTGGTTGGGGTGCTCATTGTGGACAAGCCACCATCCAGTCCAGGTGGAGTCCCAGGGACAGCTGTCACCATATCAGTTTCCTCGAGCTCCTGGCATTCAAGAAGACTTTGGTTGCCTTCCAAAATCACTCCTGAGATCGCCACGTCAGAGTCCTGACAGACAATACTACTGTGGTGGCATACATAAACAAACAAGGTGGAACCAGATCACACAGCCGAGCACACCTTGCCATGAGCTTATGGCACTGGTGTATAGCCAAACGAGCTACGCTCTCCGCTCTACATGTAGTGGACAAGACCAATGTTCTAGCAGACCTCTTGAGCAGGATTTTTACCACATGCCACGAGTGGGAATTCCATCCTGCAGTGCTTCAAACCTCTGGATTGACACCCCAAAATTGACACCCATTTTGTCACAAAGACAAAATCGTCCTCTGGCCTGATCCAACCTTTCTACTGAAGGGAATGTCATATTTCCACATGAACGAGCCGATAATCCTGCCCTCGTTCTTCCAGAGTCCGTCTACTCCTTCAGAGGCTGCATTGTGTTCCCTCAATGTCAGAAGGGCTCTTGCATTTTATAAATCAAGAACCCAGTCCCTAAGACAGACACAGGTTGTTCATCCTTTATGGTGAGCCACACAGAGGACACCCGATATCACCTCAAAGGCTCTCTAGGTGGATCGTCCATACCATTCGTCTGGCCTATGACCTCTCTGACCTTCGCCTTTCTGGACCTGTCAGGTCTCACTCGACTAGAGCCACGTCCACCTCTACCGCACTCTATGCTGGAGTGCCCCTGACTGACCTCTGTAAGGCAGTCACATGGTCTAATCCATCGCCCTTCGTTAAGCACTGCCGCCTCGATGTCAGGTCAAGAGAGGACTGTGCCTTCGGCAGATCCGCCCTCTGCTGTGCTGCACTGAGCAACACCACCCTCCTCCTTGAGATAAGCTCGCCAGGCACCCATATGTGTGATACACAGAGACCACGAAGAATAAGGACAGGTCTCCTTCCCTGTAACTGTCGTTCTTTGAGTGGTCATCTGTGCATTCACACATACCCACCTGCCAACCCCTCTGGTGTCTCTCTTGGACACATGCATTATAATGTGTTATTCATGCAGTGATGATGGCGGTCCCAGCTTTGAACTGAGGTCTCGGCTGAGCCCTGCCCTCACGCTAGCTGCATACGGGGGCTGGGCTCCTGCCAAATACTAATTAGCTTTAGAATCTTCCCGAAAATCGCTGCATGTAGGGGCGAAGAGCCCATATGTGTGAATACACAGATGACCACTCGAAGAACGACCATTACAGGTAAGGAGACCTGTCTTTATCTGTCCTAACCCTCCCACCAATCAGTTTCATCAGAAGACCCCAGGTTCATTGTTTTGGGAGAGGAAGAAAAATGTCTCCCTCTCTACATACCATGAATTATTTGAACACTTCTATCATGTCTCCCCTTAGTTAACCTTTTTCTAAGCTGAATAATTCCAGTTGTCATAGCTGTTTCTCTTGGGGAGCTGCTGCAGCCCCCTAATCATCCTTATTGTCCTTCAGTGCACCTTTTCCAGCTCAACAGTGTCCTTTTTCAGGTACGGCCACCAGAACATAACATAGTATTCGAAGTGTGGTTGCAGCAAAGATTTATATAAGGGAAGTAAGATTTTGGCAGTTCTATTTTCTATTCCATTCCTAATATATGTTATGGGCATTTATTCACATTCTTAGAGAAAAACACTGTTTTACCCATCAGCTACCAGTATTTGGCTTTGGGCATGTATAGCCCACTCCTGTGCTTGTTAATAGGAAATGTATTCCTTTGTTCATTGGAGCTTACTTACAAATTTGTGCGCAGAGCATTGCAACCTGAGCATTCATAATAGTGATCTTGCATTGTATCCTGAGCTTCTTGTCTGCTTGTGTGAATGAGACCTCCTGACATCAAGATTTGGGACGTCTTGCTTTGGTTACATGAACTGCAAAGTACAGCATCCTTACACTGGTGGCTCTGGCAGAAATTGCATTCTGGAACATGGTTGTAATATCATTTTGAAGATAAAACAATACTTGGTTTAAATATACCTGTAGGGCTTAACTGAGCAGTCCCGTGGGGTCCATTGAAGAGAATCCATAGCAGAAGTGCCTGCATGTTCTCTGTTTTGTTCTTTTTCTCCCTTCCCTATTTGTCCTTAAACATGCCTTTTTAAGCTTTTAATTTCTCTGCTTTTGGGAGGAAAGCAGGAAGCTTCCCTAGATCTGCCCTGGCATGGCGCCTCACATGTGCCATAGCTGCATGGGCAGAGGAATTCAGGTTTCTGCTGCAGCAACAAAGGTCCATAGGTTTATAGTGTTAGTGTGGTTTGGCCTTGATCTAATAACTTCAGATGCTTTGCTATCTTTATTGTGCATTTTTATATTTTAATGTTTTGAGACTGCCTGAAGGGGAGCACATTGCATAAATATTTTAAATGATACTATTTATTTTAGCTACTTATGAGCTTTGTTTGGCTACCCTAGTGATAAAATACTGACTGTAGAATGAAACTTGCCATTCACTTTTGAGTAGAGGATGACTCCTTTTAAAATTCTGGAATTGCGTAAGTGAGCTTATGATACCGATTTTAAATGTTAGCTTTCACAAAGATCTGTTTTTTCATATGGAATGACTAATAATTAGAAAGCAGCCACAAGATCTTTCTGGCTAATGTGCTCCTTACAGTTCTCATCTTTTTATTCCCCCCGCCCAAAGGATCCAGCCACAAGCCTGGAACACGGAGAAAGAAAGTCGGTTTGAATGGACAATGATTAGAGATACAATGAAGGCTTGGAGTGACAGTCAGTCAGATCTTTACAGCAGTGACCTGGAAGAGGAAGAAGAAATGATTTTTGGAGAGAATGAGGAAGACTTGGAAGAAATGATGGATTTAAGTGACCTGCCTAACTCGCTGTTTGCTTGTAGTGTTCATGAAGCAGTATTTGAAGTTCAAGAGCAAAAGGTAAGGGGTTATTCCAAGCAACAGGGACAAACTAGTGCTGATCTATTAAAGTGGGTGTAAATTAACCAGAAAACATTTGCTCAAGCTTTTCTTTGGGTCTTAAGCAGCTATATGGAAGGATCTTCTACAGCACTGGTCAACAGCTGATGCATTTTTGGGTAGTAGCACTACCACCGTATCAGTGCATATGAAAAACAAGTGCATCCTTAGAAGCATTTTTGAGCAAAAGAAATACTGTGGGCCTGAAAAGGCTGAAGCGTATTCTGCCATGTTCGGTATCTGTACGTTATTTAATCTGTCAGTCATAGACATTCTTGATGTAGAAGTCAAAACGCAGTGCACAGGTGCTGATTGCGCATGCACCGGAATTTCCCATTGCATGCACAAAATGTCCTAGCTTAAAGGAATCTGGGAATTCCCTGGATGTTCCACGTTCTTGTACTAATATATGTATAGCACTTCCCTATTCATTTTGGCAATTCCTCATGAGCAAATGATGGATGCTCATGAGGTACTTTCACTCTTGCAGGATCTCCATGTGCATTTTTGAATGCATGGAGGTCTTACTCCATAGTTTTTTCTCAATTTAATGAATACAACAAAGTTGAATTTTGTATGAACCAAAATTTAGAGAAGTAATAATAGTAAAATAGTGTTATGAAAAAATGTTATTTGGCTCACTGAATGGCATGGATGGGGTTCTGTGCTGTGCAGTCCTGTGCATGTTCATTCACTGTGGGCAATGGGATTTACATATGAATGTAAGCATTCATATGATGGCAGCCCTGAATTCTGGCCTCAGATACATGTAACAGTAAACCATAGTCTAATGCTGAACTGTTCCTCTGTGAGTAAGTAAAGTCTGAGGCTCACGCACTTTCTTCTCTACTTCCCACACAGGCAGCAGGAGGATATACCATAATTTGGTTTCACTTTCTCAGATTCTGGGCTTGCTGCATAGAAATCAGGAAGTTTTAAAATAAAATTCAGTGTATGCCATGATTAGACCCTTGCATTATCTAGCTGGTTTGTTAAACAAACTAGAGTTACTCTGGCTTATACTTCCTAGTTCATATACAATGACAAGATGGGAAGTGAGGCAGTGAAACTAATCCTGGCAGACATTCTCTTGGCCAAAGGGGATGGGGAAGCATGTGTGTTCAGTTTTGTTCATGTTTTTGGAGGTTTATACAAGTAACGCTAAATACTTGCTATATCTTACATGGAACAGGGATTTGGTTCTACAGACAATGTTACATGATATCTGTTTCTCTAACTTTTGTTACATTATCTTGGTCCTAAGGGGACCCTGTGAATGAAAGTTGTACTTAAGTTTGAGATACACAAATCACTTTCCTTGCCTCTTAACATTTTGATATAAGCAAGCTAGAAGAATTACTCTTATTCCACATTTTCAGCCTTGGAAATAATCCTCCAAAAGTTACTAGACTGAAGGGAAAAATGTCTACACAGGCTAGCAATACCACATGAATGGCCTCCTGCTTAGACCACTTAGTTTCTGTGCTGGGTGCACAGAGTGTTTCATTCCCTGTTCTGGAACAGTTGCTTGTCCGCATGGGATTGGTTGCCTATGGCCACCAGGCTAGCACTTAAAAACAAGGCTGCAGGTTAAATATCAAAACAGATAACACATTAATCCTTGTTCATTAAACAGACCTCAGAACTCAAACTGATTTGCATAGGATGCTTCAGAAGTATTCCAGAATGGTCCTGCTTGGGTGACTTTAAAGTTTCACTTGAATTGTTGAAGAAATGGGTTTTATATGAGCTAATAATGCTTCAGGGAATAAAATGCTACAATTGAGATCAGATCCTACAGTACTCAAAACAATTTTAATATTAAAGTTTGTCACTTAATTTCACAGCAATGCAAATTTTTTTTACCTATACCATCTTTCTCTAAATCAAATGGGTTTCATTCAAGCTGAGACAGAAAAAATACTATTATTACTTTTCATTGTCCTGACAATCATCAAGCAGGGTTGATTATGAGTAGGCAAGCATGTTTCCATGACAGCTCTGTATGAGGCTGAATGTCTTTCTGAAAGAACTCAGATTTATTTTTTATAATATCCACTGCTGACAAAACATGACTCTTCCCTGTAGGTTCAAGTGCTGTGTAAAATACCATTTAAAAAATAAAAGCTTTTTTTTAGTGCACCCTGAAAGGCAGGTTAAAAATGTCTTCGGTAATAATAAATGTCATCCCCTAGGGTGAGATTTAAACTTCTATCAGTTTGAGATGTGAGATAGTGTAACTGAAAACTATAAACTGGGCTTAGGGACTGCAGTCCTATCATTCCATTTGCATTCTGGCTGGGGCTGATATGAGTTGGAATCCATAAAGGTTTTTTTGAACCTTTCTGTTAGAATCAAATGAGTGCAATAATTGATAGGAAATATTTCTAAATGTTTAGCCATCAGTATCAAACTTCTGCTCACAGTATCAAACAAAATGAGCCTTCTCGCTGTCTCTTGACACTTTCCCTGTAGCCTGGAATTCATGCTGTCCGGAGTTCATTTAGCAGTGTGGATATTTGTTGGGGTCAGATACAGGATTCCTGGTCAATCAAACTATCATTTGTTGGTGACAGTACAAGTTTGAGGGCTCTCCCCCCCCCCCCCCCAGCACGCCCCTTCTGCCATCTTCTTTGCATGGTTTATAGAAAGCATTTAAGCCACAGTTTCCCAGTTGGGGACCTAATTTAACAAACCAGGTAGTCTCATTTGCAGCCAGAAGAGAAGGGGAGAGGGGGCATGCATGTTTATTTCCTCTCCAACAAACCATAGTTTGATGAAACATTATGCCTAAACTTGAATTGTGTTTGTGATGGAGAATAGTTTATGCAAATGACAAGTCTGTAGTTATGCTGACTGAAACAATTATTCACCATATGGCACAGATAAAACATATATCCCGTTACATAAGGTAACGATATTGAATTCTAAATAAATGCCCATTTTTCTTAATTTCTGTGATAAACCAGGTGTTTCTGCTGCATTGTTCTTTTCTTAGGTATTACTGGTATTTGTCTTATTTCATGTAAATATTTTAAGAACACTTAGTCTCTTAGACTGCAGTCTTATACACATTTACGTAAAAGTAAATCCCATTGATTTCAGAGGAATTTATCTGAGTAGACATGCAGAGGATTACATTGTGAGAAACTTAAATCTAGAAACTTAAATATGATATTGAGAAATATGAAAGAACTAATTCAGGTGAGTTCTGACCCCTTCCTCATTCATGTGGTAAAGGGAAACATGATCTGGGGCTAGAGAAATTAAAGCATGTAGTATGAAGTTGAAGGGATTTTTACTCAGATGCTCTTGACAGGGTTAAAATGCTAGTAACTAGGAAAGTGGAGCAGTGGGTGCAATTTACTGTGTACCCTATCATATCGGAGAAGGCCTCCCTAAAGTTTGAAACCTCAGTGTCAAAACGGTGACGTTTCACACTGTGGTATAATGGGGCTTGAATATTTATAAATGAAGGATTTACTTAGTAGTTCTGTTTCTGGATTAGGAACAGGAAGGGGAATCTCAAACCGTGAGCTCACTGGGATAGGACTGGGTAGAGAAGTTGAAGTGAGGCACTGGATATTTGAATAATTTTGATTTCTTGAATGTTGTAATCCACTTAGAACTTCTGATATCGGGCAGGAGACAACAGGATGGCATTCAGTGTGGTTAAGTGCATGGTTTTCCACTTGGGGCATAGGAATGGGTGTAATAAGTACAGGTTAGGGGACAAGTGTCTGGAGAGCAGCACTTGTGAAAGGGACCTCAGGGTGCTGGTTGACTGCAGGCTAAACATGAGTCAGCAGTGTGACGCAACGGTCAAGAGGATGAACGCCACCCTTGGTTGCATAGCCAGAAGCATGGCTTCTAGATCGAGAGAGGTATTACTACCACTCTATACGACTCTGGGGTGCCCACAACTGGAGTATTGTGTTCAGTTTTGGGCCCCTCATTACAGGAAGGATATAGCCAGGTTGGAGTCAGTGCAGCAAAGGGCCACAAGGTTGGTGGCCGGTTTGCAGGGGATGGGGTATGAGGCGAGACTGAGGGCACTGGGTCTTTTCAGCCTGGAGAAGAGGAGACTCTGAGGGGATCTGTTGGTGACATATAGGTATGTGAGGGGGTGTCACACGGAGGTGGGTAGAGCCCTGTTCTCCCCTGAAGAGGAGGGCAGGACGTGCTTCAATGGAGCAAAGCACAAGGAACCAAGGTTCAATTTGGATGCCAGGAAGTACTTCCTGACAGTTAGGAATCTGAAGGTATGGAATGGGCTTCCACAGGAGGTGGTTGAGGCCCCATTGGTGAGGGTGTTCAAGGATAGGCTAGACATGCACATGGTGGGCATGTTGTGAGTGGAGCCAGCTGGAGCCTTGGGTCAGACTAGATGACCCGGGAGGCTCCTTCTGACACGTTCTGTTTCTGTGTTTCTATGAGTAGGATAAAAATCCAAATAGATTCATTGTGCCAGTAGTTTTGAAGCTAGGATGCTCAACCACTGTCTGTAGAAATAGAAATGAATTGTTAAAACCATTTGTACCAACTGAAAATAGCTTTTCTTGTGTCTTATTTAATTGTTCTGATGTTGGACACAATTTTTATTTAGCTTCCTTTTAATGGTTAATTATGAGGAAAATGTTTTGATCAAAAATAAATGGAAATTCAGTTTTGGAGTAGGTGTCTCCAATTTGACACTTTCTATCCCTTTCTTAAATAAATCAGTCATTGCCAGAGGTTTCCAACTTTCTGTAATAATACTGACACATGCTGGTATGACCCTATCATGGAAATACTTATCTCTTCCTGCCTTGTATTCTTCCTAGAGCTCATTTGCTTTCTAGTCAAGTCCTGTGCAGTTGTTGTTTCTGGCTCACTGCGTAAAGCAATAAGAGGCAGGGACCCATCCCAGGAATGTTTCACTGCAAAAATAACCTGGTATGATTATTTTGGTCTTGTTTCCTATAATCCTTATTATCTCATCTCAGTAACTGCCTGATATGTTATCCCATAAGCCTGATCTATTCATTTGGCTGCCTCTGCATGTTCATTTCCCAACGTCCTGAAAAACATGGTGACTTAACGAAACCATGCCTCCTTTGCACAAGGTCATTTCAAGCAAATGTGACTGGAGATGATGTAGTGCTGCATGCTACACTGCATATTTTTCTTTTATTGCAAGCATTTCTCTCAGCACACCATTCGCACCTCCCACCCCCTGACCTTGGGGGTCCTTCTATGCCAGAATACTAAGGCTGAAAGGAGGTTAATGGAGAAAGAAGATGTTTATGTTTGGTACTCAGTAGCCCTAGGCACTCACAAATGAGAACTTTCTTGCCTCAGTGGTTCCAGCAAGGGCATATCCATGACATCCCCAACCTGGTGCCCTCCAGATGTGTTTGTCTGCAGAGCTCAGTATCTAGCTGGCCTGGCTAATGGGAAACACTGAGAGTTGTATTCTAACACACCTGGTGAATACCAGGTAGTGGAAGCTAGCATCTCTTAATAGGTGTATGTTGAAATTCCTGAGTCAAAAATACACAAAGAGAATGGAGAAAGCATCTCTCTGCTCCCTAGGAAAGGAGCTGGCAATATGCTATCATAAATCAGATACATATACAATTTTTAAATCAGCGTACTTAACAGCTTTTGGATAGAGGAGGGGGAATTATGTAATAGCTGTTAGAATAACATTCCTGTTGCTGCTTGGATGGGCAGTGCTGGAATACATCAAGCTAAAGTGTGCTTGTTCCTGTGCTGAGGGTATGGTGAGGTATGTTCTTGCTAGATCTTTTCTTTACAGGTTTACTCTCAATGGAGGTGAGGTAATCTAATACCTGTTTTTAGCATGCATATTTCTAGTGTGTTGCTTTGTTTAAAACTCTAATGATATAGTGCACTATAAAGAAACCATTTAGCCATTGAATACAGTGCATCAGCAGATGGACCTTTTTGCATTTTGATAAGGTTTTCCTTAAGTCCCATATCAGGGTTGGGCAACCTCAGACCCACTGGACAAATCAAGGTTTCCTGCTAGCCTTGTCCCTTTTATCTGACCACAAATCATGTGGTGGTTTCCTTGCTTTGGCATTCTTTTCCTATTCTTAAAGTTTAAGAAGTCTCTCCTGAGCCCTAATGTCTGGCAGTAAGAGCTTTGATCTAAAATATGCTGGCATTTTTGCTATTTTACTGTTACCTTTTTGCCTTTGGATAACATCCGTGGTTTGAAAAAGGCTCACCATTCCTGATCAACATAGTTCTACATAGGCTGTTGAAACTGATTAGAAGAACGAGTATAAAAAATAGAGCTTACAAAACTAGATTTTCAAGTATCTTTCCAGATGGAATTACATTTTATTGGTTGGAAAGGTCATGTCATTCTGGGATATTTCTGCCCTGGATTAAGCTGAACTTTTGACTATTGCCTTTTGACTAATCATTGTGAAAAGAGGCCCTAGCTCAGTAGTAAAGGAGATGCTTGGCATACAAGGTCAATTCCTGTCATCTGCAGGTAGAGCCAGAAATTCTGGAGAGCTACTGTCAGTCCATGCCAGTTACCTCAGTGCATGGTCTGGCTCTGCATAAGTTTGCTTACTGCACTTCTTGTAGGGTTGTGGCTTCTTCTTTTCTGGAGCAAATCACCAAATCCTTAACCAAAGAATACTTCAGCTCCTGGTGAAACCAGCTCATGCTTCCATGGTGTAAACTCTGTCCACTTGGATGATATATCTGCTTACACATACAGGAAGAAAAGATAAATTGTGGCCCCTGCAGTTCACGTTTCTGGGTCCACCAGCAATTTGATCTTTTCAAAATAAGCTACATCTATCTGGGGATGGGGAAGGAGATGCATGGCTTTAAATAACTTTCTCTTCTCAGGGCCACATTGTGTGCTGTGTGGAAAATTCAGCATCTTATATGAAAATGCAGGCAAGGGTGAATAGTTAAATAGTTCAAGCAAGGGCAGGCAAACTGGTAGCTTGAGATATTCTGGCCTACAATTCCCAGAATCCCTGGCCATTAACTATGTTGGCTAGAGGAGTTATACTCCAAATGATTTGGACTATATCAGGATGCCCGTCCCTAGTTTATCCCTTTCTCCTGTACCATTTTTCTGATCAAAATAGTTCCATCTGTTGAGGATGGGTGACATTCAGAGCTCACTAGTAGAACTTAAGATCTGTATGTGTGATGTGTTGGTAATAGCTTTCTGTTACATTGCTAACTGTATTCAGACTTTACAAAGGCAGGGACAAATTCCATGTTAACCTAGATAGAGATGACAGCATAACATTGCTAACAATAACCAGCTACATCTGCTGATGTTAGTGGAAGTATTAATGCCACATCCCTGCAGCTTTTCTAGAAGTTTTATGTTTAGCCCTACTTGAGAGTACTTAGTATCTTGAGTAAGATGAAAGTAGTCAGGACTGGGTAGAGACTCAAGTAGCCTGTTTGTGAGCCAACCACATAGCATAGCAGATCTCAACTGTGGCAAGTTCTGCAGTCTCTAAAATGTACTTGCCTCGAATATCCAGTTGCCTCATGAATACGTAGATTTTATGCATGAAGAATGCAGCAGAAATACAACTAAACTTTCAACTTTAAAAAAAAAATCCCCACCTTTTTCACTGTTGTGAGGAACTCATGAAAGTTACATGCCTTGATTTTATATTTACAACAGCCCTGTGGGGTAGGTTTGGCTGAGAATTTGTGACTCACCCAAAGTCATTTGCTTTATGGCCAAGTGGGCTCCTCCACTCTAACCGCCACACCTATTGGCTGGTTGTGTTTTATTGGATGAATGAGGGTGTAAGTTCTTACTCAGTTCTGCATCCACTGCACATGGAAAGTGCTGTACATTCCTTTTCCTTTTACATGGAAAGTACTATGTGACCCAGGCCTGATGACTGGGTAGGAAAGATGAATGTTACTAGGACATAATTTTTACGCTTGTTAGGAGTAAAAACAAGGAAGTTGCTATGTGCCTTTGCCACAAGTGTAAATCCAGTGTGGTCAGCATAGTCCAGTTTTGTAATTTTGAGTCATGAGTTTGAATGTTTTTTTTTTAATTCTTAATGGATCCATGTCATCACCAAATTACCTTTTTAAAAAGTCACTGACCGTGTTTGCATGATTGAACCACAAATGCTATGGCTGAGTGGAATTTCTGTATCTGCCACCTGGCTACAGCTTGTCATGTTGTGTGAACATGGGTGGCTGGAATTGTGCAAAACCCATAGTTTGTTACTGGGTTATGGAAGGGATGTTGGACTGTTGCACATCCCCTGCCACCCATGTTCACACAACATTTTTACTTTTATTCAGCAAAAGGGTAATTCACTTGGAAATGCATTTAAAAGTGAATGGTACAGTTATTTGGAGTGTGCTCTGTCATGCGACATTGATTGTCATGTGCCAATTGACAGACTTTATCCTGAAATATTGATAATAGCCACTAGAGGGCCCTGTGATCATTGTATAATATGCCATTTTATGTATGTCATTGTTTAAAAGCAAGAAGAAACTAATATTCATGTGAACTTGATTCTGTTTGCTGTGTTTTTCTGCTGATGTGCAGTACAGTTGTGGTAAAGATCAACTAAAGAACAAAAGCTCACAGGTTTTTGCAGTGGTAGCTTGCAGTAGTAAGCTTCAAGGAAGCTTAACAGGAAAAAAATATCTTTCTACCCTTAGGAAAGATTTGAAGCGCTTTTCTCAGTCTATGATGATCATGCTACATTCCAGCTATTTAAAAGCTTTAGAAGAGTAAGGATAAACTTTAGCAATCCAGAAGCAGCAGCAAGAGCACGAATAGAACTGCATGAAACAGACTTCAATGGGAAAAAGTTGAAGCTGTATTTTGCCCAGGTAAGTTGTTGATTATTGAGATTCATATCCTGATGTTCTGCTAAAATTAAATCTTGGCTGGTGTCCATACAACCAAGGAATAAAGCAGCTTGTATTAGGGCTCATGCTTTCCTGTATTAATCTTTGTGAATCAGTTATTTATTTTTGAAGTAGAACTTTTAAGACATTGGTAATAAAAAAGGGGCCTAGTTGGTTGCTTGTACTCCAGCAATACAAAGATGGGCTTAGAAACTGTATGCTTTATATCACAAAATCAGTGATTTTTTTTAGTAAATGTTTTTTGAAGAAAAATCTTTCCAAAGAAAGTTTTCTATTTAAGTTACATGATAGCCCAAAGGTTACTCATGAAATAAGGATTAGTTATTTCTGCATAATTAGTTTTCAACTATGTATCATGAGGCTGTATATTGATACAATGCTTAAATGTTTTTGTAAATGAATTCTATTCATTCAAAATGTCATGCTCTTCGAGAGGTTTCGGTAAGATTATTAGGAAGTGTTTCTATCTAGAAGATACTATCACAGATAGTATCACAGTTGTCAAAACTGTGAATGTGTGTCTGCAGAGATTGCATGCCTCTTCTCCACAGCAAAAACATTATAAAATAAACATACAGCATTGACAAAAAGACCTTAATCCCACTGTTCCCTTTGCAAATCTATGTATGCAAAATCAATCCCTGGAGGAGAAAACCTGTAATGACAGCGGGCTGTAAAAGGCACAGTCTGGGAGTATTTTAATGAAGTTCTTCTACCTATGTGTAGCAGGCATGTGTGCAAATTATGTAGAAAACCATGATTTAAATCTAGTCTTACTGACTAGTGATTTACCGTATTTTTCGCTCTATAAGACACACTTTTTTCCCCCTCAAAAGTAAGGGGAAATGTCTGTGCGTCTTATAGAGCGAATGTGTGCGTGCCCGATGCCCGGGACGCTGCCGGCCCGCCTGTACCACGTGGCACCACCTGGCCGGCACGCACTCGGCGCGCGCTGCTCCACCCGCCCCCTCCGGTGCAGGTGAGAGCTGTGTCGCTCAGGGGGAGCGGTGCGGAGGAGGAGGAGCTGCGGGCTTTAACCCACCGGCCGCACAGAGAGACGGACTGCTCACCCCCACCGCCCGGGAAGACCTGCCACCGCTGCGCTGCCCGGAAGACCATCGCCAGCATGCTGCCGGCCCGGCTGCACCACACCTGGCCAGCATGCACTTGGCGTGCCCTGCTCCACCCCCCTCCTCCGGCGCAGGTGAGAGCTGTTAATCACAGGTCGGTGTGTGTTTTCAAATGGCAACCTGTCTTTTAATGAAGCCCATGGAGAAGTGATGGGGAATGTGCCTGTGATTATCAGGAAGCTTTCCATGGATCCCTTCTCTAAAAACTAGGTGCGTCTTATGGTCAGGTGCGTCTTATAGAGCGAAAAATACGGTAAATCAGATCCACCCTGTTATTGCTATTGAATGCTTTAATGCTTTATTGAATGCAACCAGAATAGTTGGTAACCTTGAGGCTCTGTGAGCTTTCCATTGATGTATATAAGTCAGTATGTTCCTTGCAGATGTCCTACACGACTGTGTCAGGGCTGCATGTACTTCATGCTAATGAATAAATGAAAATCTCTACCTTTGCACAAAGCTCAGTATTGAGTAAATATTAAAATAACTTATTTCTGTAACATATATAAATTATCAGAAGTATAAGCCATGTTAGTCTGTTGCTGCAAAAACAACCACCACCAAGCCTTGTGGCACCTTAAAGACAGTGGCAAAAGTCTTCACAGACAGTGTTTACTTTACAGATGCAATCAATTTATATAATTCCTCTCACTTTTCACAATTCCATTTTTGCTTATTCTTCTGCATAATCTTATTTTGACTTTGGTAACCATGGAGAGGGGTCAGACATCTCCCCTCCTACCATCATTGGCTTTCTTCTTCAGTCTTCCCCAATCTTTTCAATTTCAGCAAGCATTAGCCATACACTTTCAGAGAGAGAAACTTTTTTTCTTTTAATAAAATGGCAGGTTTGCATTCAGGTACAAGATTCCGTGCTCTCACAGAATCACGGCATACACACAGTTCTGGATGTATTTATAGCATTGGGTACGAGCTGGGGATCAAATCCTTCCTCAGCCATTGATTCATTGGGTAACCTTCAGCATGTTATCTGGCTACAAAATGACCCAGCCAGTTGAAAGAATGAATGAGATAGGAATGTTTAACTGTTCTGCACTTACAGTAGACATTTTATTAGAGTTCAGTTAATGTGTTCTTAACTGTCTTGCATGGTCAGTGTTTAAACTAAAACAGCTAATTAGGGAAGCAACTATGCATTTAGTAATCAGGTATCTTCAGTCAGTGAAACAAATTTCCCAAGTTCTGCAGTTGTACTGATTACAAAACCAGAAAGACACATAAGAACAATCTGACATGTGAAGATTGTTGTGCTACTTTTCTTACTGTTCTGAGTATATTTGTTCTTTCAGGTTCAGACACCCGGTGAAGTGGGAGATAAATCTTACCTCTTGCCCCCACAACCTGTTAAACAGTTCCTAATATCACCACCTGCATCCCCACCAGTAGGATGGAAGCAAAGTGAAGATGCCACTCCCATGATAAACTATGACTTGCTCTGTGCTGTTTCAAAATTGGGCCCTGGTATGTTTTCTTTCTGCCTTTCTGTTTCCACATCTGTGTTAGTAAAAGTGCCTTGTAAATTCCATGTCTGTGGTAAGAATCCCCTCCAGGCAAGGCAAGGAAACTTTAAAAGATTGACTTGCTTTCTTTTGGGGCCACAAATGATTGACATGGGTTGGTGAGTGGGTCGGCTAGTAAACTTTGTGGACTTACTTGCACAGCCGTGAGAAGAGACTGCATATGGAAAAAAACAAGTGTAAAATTTTAGTCAGAATTCCACAAAGAAGAAATTCCAGTTTTGCAGTTGGAATGACTTGTATAAATTGCACCTTCCACAGTTTGAAGAGATTCTTCCTCTATGGTAGTAGTGTTGGCAGATGCTGAAGGGTTTTTTTCCTTTATGTTTGAATCAGACTAATGTAGCATCTGTATAGTCTAAAGTGCCTGCTCTTGCCTAATCTTGAAAGCTAAGCAAGGTTGGGCCTGGTTGAAATCTGGATGGGTAACTTTAAAATGTTGTGAACCATCCAGAGAGCTTCAGCTATGGGTGGTACAGAAATGCAATATAATGTGATGAAGGAAAATATTGGGTATTTATTTATTAGAGCTATATCCCACCCCATTAGCCAGAAAGGCTCTCTGGATGGATGGATGGATGGATGGATGGATGGATGGATAGATGGAGGAAGTTCTGGGCACAAGTGAACTAGTATATTTTTTGGAGTGAAATTTCACTCCAGTTGTGCTCTTGATTTCTTATGCAGTGTAAAGAGCTAGAAACTTATTTTTGGTAAGTCTGATGCTTCATTAAAAGCCTCATTATGATTTTCTACCTTTTAATAGATTTATTGACTTACCATATTTGCTTTTGAATTTCTATGAAAAGAAAACACGGAATTAAAACTTCTTCAAGACGATAGTATTAGTCCTGAATCAGTTAGTTTATTTTTAAAATCTCTGTTTTTATCATTGATCTACAACTACTTACAGATGTCTATTTCTAGGTTTGGATTTACTGTGATACACATATCTTTAACCATTTTTATTGAATTCTAGCCAGGAACTCTGTCACTTATATTGAAAAAATAACTCCCATTTTGCAAATACCTTGATGTTTCTGCCTTACTTTAGTATATTAAAGATCTGTAACATACTGTGAAAATGCAATCTCAAAACTTGGTTAAAAAAAGCAAAGCTACAGATCTAATCTGTTTGCTACCATCAGCCACAGTATGTCATCATGATGATGTGGTGGTTGCCCTCCAATCTTTCAGAAAATAAGCTTGATATGATGGCATTTTTGTCATGGGATCCTGCTGGTTTCATTTTATTTCCACATGGGCTTTAACATCTCTACAAAGACTCTGGGTTTGGCCATTGAAGGCTTCGGAGTATAGTATCAGAGGAATCAATGGTACCAGCTCTTTTTGCCTTGTCAGACAGGTGAGGCTGTGCAGCTGATGTACTGTTGACTGGGTAATTGGCTAGATGAAGGCTAATAAACTGAGGATGAATCCTGACACAATGAGGAATTGAGGGTGGGTGATTCTTGTGGCTGGAGAATCTGTTCAGCTGGATTGAGTTGCAGCCGTTCTTTAAACAAAAAACCAGGTGTGAGTTTTTGGGGGTGTTCCTTGAACTAGCACTGTCACTGGAGACCCAGAGTACCTTTTACTTACTAACTTTGAGTGATTTACCAAGTATTTCTGGACAGGCATAATTTGGCTCCAGCGTTCTGATAAACTCTTGGTCAAATTAACCTAATATGTGGGACTCACTTTGAAAGCAACTCAAAACCATCAATAATTTCAGAATGAGGCAGATAAACTTCTGCCTGGGTAGACCCATATTATAACAATTCTTAAAGAATTATCTGGTTGTCCATTTGTTTCCACGCCCCATTCAGAGTGCTTGCACTTACCTTTTAAAGCTGTAAATGGCTTGACACCCAAATACATCCTGCCTATGGATTAAAATCTTTGTTGAATACCTTCAATTGGTGAGGAATGTTATACATAAGTGGACCTTATCTATGTAAGCACTTTAGTACCAGAATACTCACCCTAAAGAAGTTCAGCTGTTGCCAACTCTACAGTCTCTTCAGCACCAAGACAATTTATTTTCCTAAGCATTGTAAATTGGTTTTTGTTGTTTTGGTTCTGCTTAGCAGTATTATATTTTACAATATAATATACCACCATAGAATCTATTAGGATAAAGAGATAATTTTTTAAAGTCAATTACTGTAACAAAACTGTTTCTTGCCCCTGAAGAAAACAATTCAAAATGTGTAGAATTATTACTTTGCATTTGAATGTGTAAATGTGCTGTTTATCATGCTAGAATAATAATGCTGCGATCTGTCATATTGTCTAGGGGAAAAATACGAGCTTCATGCAGGAACAGAGTCTACCCCCAGTGTTGTTGTCCATGTGTGCGAAAGTGAAACAGAAGAGGAAGACGAAATGAAAAATCCCAAACAGAAGATTGTGCAGACAAAGCGCCCAGATCCGCCACCAACATTGTTAAATGAAACAAAAACTCTTGAATGTACACTAGAGGTAGGGGGTGCGATGCACTACTGATTTGAAGCTATCTAATAATGGCAGTGGATAGTAGTCATGTTTGCACTGCTGCATTATGCGTAGTGGCAACAGACTCCTCTTGTAGTCGTCTCACATCAGGAAGACTTTAGATGCCAACATTTTGAAGAGCACTTTAATTTTTAAGGTTAACTTCCAAGATGTAGCAAATCAACTGGGTTTCCAGTCCTAGCATGCTAGGAAAGTGCCATTTCTGGAACATGTGTTACCATTTTCTTGGTGTTTAGAAGGCTGAAAGGAACTTGACTGCTGCCCTCTCTATATGGGTTACCACATGGTTTTGGATGTGAGTCTCTCATGTATATTTTTGTGTGATATATAACATGATCTGATTAACATAACGTTCTAAGTACTATATTGATGAAATATATATGTAATGTACAATGTACATTGTTATCGGTAGAAGAATCTCAAATTGGTTTGGGGTGATAGAACCAAATTTCCAAACTGTTTTGTTTTTTTGTGTGTGCTTTTTCTTAGAAATGCCACAGGTGTGTGTGTGTGTGTGTGAATTTTAAGGTACTCTTGTGAATAGATGAGAGGCAAAAAACAAAATTGGAACTGTAGTTATGGAAACTGAAAGGTATACAAGGAACCTGTGGATTTTGGATTGATTCCCTCTTTGGCACTTGTTTCCTGCCATTTCTAAGCAATTGAAGACCTCCTGCTGTGGCTATTCCTAATGCGGAATAATTAATTTCTGTATTTCTGTTGTACACTCCCAATAGCAGGAACAAAGTAGCCAGAGATGGTCCTATATCAGTATGGCTCCTTGAAAAGCTTAGCCGCAAACCTTGTGCCACTTGTCTAACCAACTGGAATTCTAACACTGTTTCTAGACTGTAGAAGGCAGCAAAGTTACACAGGTATGCCAAAGTTGCACAGTTGCTCTCAACAGTGATGGTGCAGTAGCTGTGCCCCAAAGCAAGTGTTGGAGAATCATCCATTCCTTAAATCTCAGGCTTTTATGGTCTGTTGGTCCTGAATCTAGTGCCCCTCCACACTTATTCTGCTCAGTATTGTGGTTGGCTAAGCTACTCCACCATTCAGACTGTGCTATATGTTGATAATTGCCTTCTTTTCAGATCTCCAGCTCTTTGTCTTGACAGGAGTGCTAGTCAGTAGGTCTTAGTGAGTTATTGGTTGGATTGCTTTTTTATTTCCTGCTTCTTCCTTTGCTTTCCTGGCCTTAGACCCTCTTTCCTTATTCTGCAAGTCGTTATTCTCAGGAAGGGAATAAAACTTGTACCAAGATAGCTTTCCCTTTGCTGGTGGTACTGCAGGAAAACTGCTGGCTACCCAGTTGTCCAGACTTGACAAATAAGACTAGACTTACTCATTGTGTAAGCCTTCCCTTCCCTTCCCATGTCTTTTAGCAAGGTCACACCATAAGATGCCAGGTACTTAATTTAATGTAACCCTACATGTCTAATAGCTAATACTTTTCATGATAAAACTGAGTAAAAAAGTGCAAGGATTGGTTGATATTTAACATATAAAATCATCAACAATACCAATTTCTCTTAATCACGATTTAGGATGGAGAAGAGGTGATTCAAATTGTGTCCAGTGGCAGAAACGATCCTTCTCTTCCTCCACACCATAGAAACCACAAGCAATGACTAGTTACTAGGCCAGTCCAGATGCACAGGTCCATAACTGTAGTAATTCAAAATACTTTATATCACCCAAACTTCAAGCTTCATTAGCTCTTTGTCCTGGTAGTGGATGAAGGCTGGCTTGGCTTGGGACCAGGTTGCAGGAGTTCAGTTATTACTAGTGAATTGAGTATTGGAGGAGGACCAGTAAGGCCTATTTCAAAACTCATAGAGAACTAAAATTTACTTAGTAACTTTGAACCACTTATCAGCCTTAGGTTGACTATCAACCTAACTTTTCTTATGGGCTTGCGAGGACAATGGCATATTCCAGGTATGCAGCGCTGCACACTCCTTGGATGCCAATGCGAGGGAGTGAACAGGTGAAGAGTAAAGGCAATTGTTACTTTGCTAGAATAATGCCTAATTCTTGCCGATTTATTGACAGCAAAGGTACTTATTACGTGATGTATTGTAAAAGCTGTTGACATTTTCCACAATTAAGATCTTGTTTTGTTGACATTTTAAAAGTCCTTGATACATGCTAGGTAAATTATTGGTTATTCCTTATAAATGTTCAAAGCCTTGTTCCATGTTTACTGTGGTGTGATCAGAATGAAGTATTAAGTCTATTTTTGCATGATAAAGTAAACTTGGAGAAGCCATTTTGCAGTGAATTTCTGAATGGAAGTCATGATGATATCTGGGCAGTACAGATAAATATATGCATCTTAAAACCTTCCAAGCTTCAGCTAGTTTCTTTAATAGCATCAGACTCCTACTTAAGGATCTCATCTCTCTGCATCTGTGAAAATGCAGAATTTGATCTGTCAATTATAGTTTTATGTACAATTGTGAGACCACCTATTAATATATTTGTCACAGAATTCATGCATAATACCATTTGTATTTTTAGGTATCTTGTCTCTCTAAGCAGCTGAAAGCCAATCAGCGACTGGCAATTTTGAGTGTCATGTCTGCTCCTCAAAAGGATGCACCTGGCTCTCTGCCTGTGCAGAGCAGGGAGAAGTATGAAGAGACCAGTCATTATAGCAATGGAGCTCTCAAGTAGGCTGCTGTAGAAAGTGGAGGTTATTCGGGGCTGACCTGCTTTCTTAGATTAGATGTCTGATAAAAACTAATTGTGGGGGGTGGGTTGCTGGTCTGTAGAACTTCCAGAATATTGTGCTGTCCAAATGAATCATCAGAGCATGGGGAGGTGACTATAACTGTTTAGTGTTACAACAGGTGGTGGTGAACAGTGTTTTTCAAAAGGATAAATAAAGCATTTTACCATTTATATGCCTTGTTTTCTCTTTCTGAAGCAGAGATTATCTCAAGAAGTGGTGCATGAAGGTGGTTTCCCCTAAGGGTGGCATAGTTGGAAGTGGATAGAGGTGATCTTTTGGGGGCACAATCCATGTCTCCCTTCTTGACCATTGCTGGAACTTCCATTTTGTCCCCATATTAACGGGCACAGGAGAGCGCCAGTCTAGATTTTCAAGGTACCAGCTTGCCTGCTGTGAAACACAAGAAAGGCAAGAATTGGTTCGGATAATATGGCTGTGCAGAAGACAAGGTCTGTATCAAGTAGTGACTCTTAAGGTTTTGCTGGCTACCCTCTACAGAGCCTGGGAACAACTTAGGGGCTGTTGATGCAGGGCTGCTGGTCTCCTATGGCCATTCAGAAGCATAGCAATTTCTAAGGAAAGGTTGCAGGGGAGGCGCGTCTATAATCATGGAAATAATTCTATGCACTTCTTGGGGAGGGTAATCCCCATTTGAATACATCATCCCACAAGGCTGCAATCACCTTCTGATCATCGTATTCCAATTTCTTTGTCTCTTTGGAGATGATTCCTAAAAATTGTTGTGCTGAGGGGCTCGGGAGGTTCATAGGAGTTACTCTCTGAAACCACTGTGAGAGTATGTTTCTGATCCGGAGGAGTTTTCTATGAACAACAAATATTCTTACAAGGAACATCCTTCCGTCCGTCCGTCCTTCCTTCATTAGATTTATAGACCATAACCTATAGCCTAAATTAGAGCTCTCTGAGCCGTGCACATGGCATTAAAAATCAACAATAGAATAAAAGATTCCATAAATGCAACAATATTACAATAAGGCTGGGTGAAGCAGTTTAAAATATCAATTAAAATTCATTAAAATGCACAGTGTAAAAATATAAACAATAACCCATTTATTAAAATACGTAGAGAATAGAACAATCTTCACCTGACATGGAAATGCACAAATCAACAAGTAGAACTTGGTTAAATCGTGCAATCATGACACATGGCCAGGTCTGGGAAGAACTTTCTTTTCTAGAAATTAGCATCCTTGAAATGCAGCTGCCACTGATCAGGCACCACTCCAGAGGAAGCTAGTTGGCACCTGACAAATGGCAGCAGCTCCAACAAAGGGAAATTCACACTGACCCACCCCATCCTCCTCCTCTTCGATAAAATAGCACCCTCCTCTCTCCTCCTTTGGTAAGCAAGTGAGAAAGCTCATGCCATTGTAACTTTTTGTTTCTGTAACCTATTGGAAAGTGTTAAATGTGTTACATGTAACCCTCTAATGATCAGTGTATAAAAGGGCCAACTGAGGACTTCTCAGGTGTGCCACCTGGAACAATTTGTTGGTAGCCAGTCAAACCATCCTTTAGAATGTCTTTGTGCTTGATTAGTTTGTGGACTAGCCCCATATACCAGTAAAGATTTCAGTTCTGGAATGAGATGATCATAGGGGGGACAGGGGATCACTGTCACCTGGATTGTTCTTAATGGCCTTACGGTATGCACCAATACTCTCTCCCACGAAGAATTCCTTTGCCCTTTGCTCCAGTACTTTACATGGCATCCTGCCTGTTTTGAGGGCTTAATGTGTGTTCCAAGCCACAAAAGGAGGTAGATCCAGCCACAAAGGAGGGGTAGATGATCACTTCTGATGTCGGGAAGTACCTGTAGACTTATGACAGAGTAATAAATTGTCGCTCTGGACAAAATTCAATCAATAGTGCTGCATCTGGCTCCAGCCATAGAAGTGAATTCTTCCAAATAATCCCCTGGTATAGATCCATTTAAAACATTAAAATTAAGCCTTTTAGCCCATTCAATAAACAAGAACCAGCAAAATTTGAGGCAGATTCGTGCATTGAAATCTCAAAAGAACTTTGTCTGCTGGGTTATCCAAAGTTAAATCTTTGACCTAATGTTCCAGCTAAGACCAGGTCTTGATAGTCACTTTTGCTTGGTGAGGAGTAAGATTAGAGCTCCCAAAGACTTAAAAACCTTAGTGTCTCACAGGACTGTTGTTCTCTCCGTATGACACATCCACCAGTCCTTCTCTAAACATGGAAAAGAGAACAACTGGATTACAAATCCCCTTGAAGAAGAATACTTCCAAGCTGCCAGATTATCAGTCAAGGAAAAAGAGAAATTGATTGAACTTTCGATTGATGCTACTTTGAAAGCTGAATTTGAAGAAAAATCCCTTATTAACTTTTGGGCAGACATCAGCAGAGAATATGGAATCAGAAAACATTTCCTCACTGTCAGAGCAATATGACAGTGGAAGCAGTTGCCTAGAGAGGTCGTGGGCTCTCTCACACTAGAGACATTCAAAAATAAACAGGGCAGCCATCTGGGATGGTGTAAATAGATGTCCCGCAACAGCACGGGGTTGGACCCAGTGGCCTTCACGGCCCCTTCCAACTCTGCTATGTCTCTATGAACAACTATTGGACAAGGTGCTTAAGTTTCTGTCGCCATTTACAAATATGGAGCTGACTGAGAGGTCTGTCTCTTACATCTTTATAAAAAATAAATACTGTAGTAAGATGAAGGCAGTTCCAGATTTAAGACTGTATCTTATTTCAGTTGAACCTAATTTCAAAACTATGTCCCTCAAAATCCAAGGATCTCACTAAACATTTGTTGTGTATAAAATATTTCTGTGTTTTATAAATATCTCAAAATGTAATACAATTTTTCAATTATTAATAAAGTAAGAAATATAATGTATTCATGTAATTTTAAATGTAATCTGTGATAGATTTACTTGAATTCATTGTATCTTTGAGTTTTGAATGTAAATATATATGCGCTGTCAGTTCACCTTATTATTCTATTCCCTTTTAGACCTGTTATTGGGCTATTTACAATTGCAACATGTAAAATTTGAAATTACAGCAACTATATTCATTACAAACATTTTGCTAATATGAAGGGTACAATTAATGGAAATGGACTGCCAAGGGGTATGCAAATGTAAAATGATGATGAACCACTGCCCCACAACCATCACCCCCTCCAGGGCCGACCCCCCCCCCCCCCCCCGGCTGAAGGCACCTCCAAGCATTGGTGTAGAGACATCGAAGTTTATTCTTGCTGTGCCCTGGTTTTCTTTCTACATTTTTGGGAGACTGGTGCTGGGCCCTGCTTGGGGTTTTTCTCTGCTGAATTATATAAGTCTTTGCCAGGTGATGGTATGCTATGCTGCACATCTCCCTCCCGTATAGGTTTTAGTCTAAAGCTCTTCTGATGAAGTTCTTCATGAGGTGGCCAAACACCTGCTTCCCGTTCTGTGTGAGGTGTGGCCCCTCATTTGCCAGTAGTCCATCTTCCAGGAAGCTTAGCTCATGGTCCCAGATTCCAAATCTCTCTTCATGGCACCACCATTGTAGCCGGTCATTCACTTGAAGGATTTTTCTTTCTCTGACAGTTCCTCTTCCACGTACTGGTCGGATTGAGGAGAAGACTATCTGGGCCCCAGTGTTTTTTATTTTCCTCCCTAGTTTCGAAGTCTGATGTTATATCAGCAAAACTTCTCCTGGCAGTGTCGTTAGTTCCCACGTGGAAGAGAAGGAAGGGGTATTTGTCATGGGTCGTACGAGTTGTGTGAACTTGCTGGTTGTACCTTTAACCTTGGCACCAGGGAGACAGCAAACTTGGCGATTATCTGGGTCATCACGACATACATATTTTTCCATACCGCACAAGAGGGAATCTCCCACAACTAGCACTCTCCTCCTTTTGTTGCAAATTTCGCTGTCCTTTTCCTTGTTTGATTGCCCTTTTGTCTCTGAAAAAGAGCTATTCAGTGTGTTGTGTGATTCTTTTACAGTGGGTTTCTCACACGTCTCTTCCGCAAGCAACTCGAAGCGGTTCGAGAGTTCCACTGCTTCCACAGGTGCAGTGTTTTCTAGCACTTCTGCATCTGTCACCCTGTCCCAGAGAGTTTCCTCATTTTCCCTTCTCTCGAGGTTCTGTTCTGCCGCCTCAGCTTGCAGTTGCTCTTCTTCCTTCTGGACTACACTTACATGTTGCAGCTCCTCCGCTCTGTCCAGAAACTCTTCGTTTTCCTTTATCGTCCGGAGGGCGGACACTCGCTGCTCCGGTGCTCTCACTTTTTCCTGCCATAGGAACTGGTGTGCAGCAGTTGTGGTTGTTGCAGGGAGCCACTGTGGAGCCCTCTCGGTGCATCACTCGCACCACCATGTGCAGCGGGGGATTTAAGGTGAAAATAGGGAAGAGAAGCCAAATGGGGGGAAAATGTTAGGGACCTCCCCCACCAAACTGCTCCGTTTGCTCGCTCCCTGGGAGCTTGGCTGCTTGTATCCCAGAGGCCCTAGACCAGCTGGGGCAGCTTGCTCTGATGTCAATGCATGTATTTTGAAATATACAAAATATAAAGGGTGCCAAAAATGTATACAAATTTTAAGAAAGGAAAAAACTATTAAAAACTTACATGGTGATGCTAGCATTCATTTGATTAATGCCATCTTTTGAGCGAAGTTCATACTACACATTGCTACCATAATTCAATCAACTTCGAAAAGTAATGAATAGCATCTCTTAAAATGTGTATACATTTTCAGGCACCTCTGGGCTTTGGTAATCAATTTCCACGTGACCTAGGTTTCGGGCTCTTTTCCTGTAACAGGAAATAGCAAACACTTAACGTGTGGCTGAAAGCTTTCCACCATCTGAATTAACAATTCTCTCTGCTTCTTCATCTTCTTAAAGCCAGGCGTTGGCACGAACGGTAAGCCAGTCTCTTTGTGCTGTATATATCTATTAGTGGAAAAAATAGTCAATTTCCCAGCTATGTCAGGTCTACACATCACTCTCACATCTGTTTCATCCTGCTTCTGCATGAACATGCAATGTTAAGCAGAGCTGCATTTTTAAAATAATATTTGAATAAATATTTAAACCATCAAAATACATATTAAGCATGGTTTAAAGTATGCATTTCTGTATGTACCATATGCTAAAATGAATGTGGGGATTAAAGAAACAGTGAGGCAAGAAATCCAATGCAGTATTCATGGAGGTGTGAAATAGCAAAGTTCCCGGAGATGCAGATCAGGTCAGTTTGCACCAGAAGTCATAAGGAACAAATTCTTCAAGTATCTCCAGTATACACGTGTATGCATAGGACTGAGTGAGATCTGCCAAGAGCTACTATCTCTCCTCCTGGAGTCCTGACACATCTCTCTCCTTCTCATGGCTCAGGCCTTATAGAAGAAGAACTGTGCGATGTAGTCTTTCAGGAGTTCTATCACAGGCAAGCAAGTTTCCAGGAATATTTAGGAATTTGAGAAATGGTCCTGGGCACCACCATGAAATGGCTGTCACAGGAGACACGACCAAGGACAGGTGACCTACCGTATTTCTGAGTGCAAGAGAGAAGTGGGGGCTGAGGCCCAATTCACTCAACAACTCCTTTGCATCCACAGTTTTCAGCACCAATGGAAGTTTATTTCATAGCAATCTCAGCTGCCAGTAAGTCTGCATTAATTGGAAAACCATGTTAATTTTTAAAAGTTGAATAAGCCATGTTGGAAGGCACCAAAAAAACGTATGGGTGGGCACTTTGGTTGCCTACCATGCCTAGTCTTAATCAAGTCTGAGTCACTTGCGATCCAGGGTTTCAGGACTACTGGAGCATTACCCTACCCTGGCTTAGCTCCTGTGGCCCTGTATTAAGGATGGGTCAGCTGAACGGCATTCCAGGATTATCACTGGACATTTGTGGACAGACATTCTAATGCTGAGGAAACATTCTAATGCTCGATAGACTGATCTGAATTTTTAGAGTGTAGAAGAGATGGGTTTGGCAATGGTCCCTAGAAATTCTGAGGACAAGACATGCCTTACTTATAGGAGTTTAAAGTCTGGCAAGCAGCATGACCGGTATCGTCTTCTCTTTCCATACCTGAAGTTCACAGTAACCTTTCTCCACCTGTACAGCACATTTTCAGAAATAATATACCCTCTTAGGTAAGGGAGAAGGTAGGTATGTGCTGCATTCCAGAAGAAGAATCTGTAGGGGCATTTTGAGGGGAACAGGGTGAGTTTTCACCCTATTTTAGCCAGTGGAATGTCATATTCTAATAAATAAATATCCATAGGCTGGGAGGGAGAACAGGAGGGAGAATGAGTGCAGGCATTCTGCAACAGCATCTTTTTGGATCCTAATACTCCATTTCTGAAGGGACTGGAAATTAGGTGGTAAGTCCAGAGGAGGCCGAAGAAAGTCCAAGGAAGAGCATTGGCAGCATCCTTCTCTTCCTCAGTTACCTGTCAGTAGATGCTTGACAATGAAGTGTTGATAAGTGAAACCTACATTAGTTCTAAGTCTTGGTCTGCACAGCTAGAGATGGCAGGCCATGTACCAAAGTCCACCGGGCTCTCAGCATCATTCTGTTGTTTTTACTTTAACTTTGAAATCAAAGCTTCTAGCTGTATAATAAGGAATTTATGAGGCATTTGAAAATGAACTTTTGACTGTTTTTCACTGTTCTATCCATTTCACCAAAGCAAGGAGCACAAATGAAGGTGTTTGGGAGTAATTGGTTTACCTAATATTTCAAAACACACTCATAGTTCTCTTGATGTTATCATATCACTTAGGAGAATTAAAACAAAATAAACCTCTAGACCTGGATGTTCTAAGAGCTGGATTTTCTAGACAGCATAGATACTGCTGTTACTCATAGAGTAAATGCACTGAAGTCACTGGGACTTGAAAGGTCATGATTAAGTTTCATTATTTCAGTAGGTCTTCTCTAAACATGACTTTGTCTAGAGCCAATGTAGCATTATTAATATATTTTGGGGTGGTTTTGTTGTAAACATCTTTAAGAAGGAAAAGAAAGGAAGGAGTCATTGACAGAAACAGAACAGAGAGAGAAAGAAGGAGACAAAGAACCAGAAGTTGTCTTTTTCCTGTGGCCAACCCAAGTAAATATCCCTTGACCTTTCTTTTTCCGTTTATTTGAAGGGGAGAAATGTCATACATCAAACCAGTTTTGAACACGATCACTACTCTCTCAGCTTTTGTAAAAGAATCAATAGAATTTATCTTGAACCATGAAGGATATACGCAGATATTTACAGCACTGAATGAGTCTTTGAAAGATGGGGAAAGGGAGGAAGACGTTTCCGGAGTGGGACAGGATCTGGAGAACTCAAAGAAAACTGTGCTTCACATTGCCATCACTGGAGAAACAGGCACTGGGAAATCGTCTCTCATCAATGCTATTCAGGGCCTACATATGGAAGATTCTGATGCTGCCCCTGTAGGAGTGACAGAAACAACTTTGCAGCCAAATTCTTATTCACATCCTAACTATCCCAACGTGATATTTTGGGACCTGCCAGGAGTAGGATCCACAGAGTTTCCATCAGCGGTTTATTATGAAAAAGTGGATTTATCCTGCTATGACTTCTTCATCATTGTAGCTTCAGAGAGGTTCCAATCCACTGAGGTTGACTTAGCTCAAATGATCCAATGGATGGAGAAGAAGTTTTATTATGTGCGTAATAAAGTGGATGCAGACTTGAACAACATGAAAAGGGCTTATCCCCAAAAATACAATGAAGAAGAAATCCTTCAACAAATAAAGAATAACTGCAGGGCGTGCATGTCATGCTTCAAGGACTCCAACAGGCAGGTCTTTCTGATCTCCACTCGGAATCCCGGCAAGTATGATTTCCCTGAGTTGGTGAAGGCTTTGCAGCAAGATCTGCCCAGCCTGCAGAGCCTAGCATTCCTGCGTAGACTTCCCAGCTTCTCTCCTGGGATCATAGCAGAGAAGAAAGTTGAACTGAAGAAACTCCTATGGAAAATATCATTGGTGTCTATTTATAACAATGCCAGTCCCATTCCAGGAACTCCCCTGGCTTGTGATGTTCGATTTCTCCAATTGTTTGTAGTTTGGTTCTACAAGAAGTTTGAGTTGGATGGTACATCCCTAGCCCGATTGGCCAGATGGGCCGAGAAACCCCTTGAAGACCTCTATGCTGTGATTGAATCACCTCGGGTAGCAGAAGTCACCGCAGATCTCATTGTGAAGAAATGTGTTGACTATGGAAATAAAGTGATGGAGAAAACCGAACCTTACTTTCCTCCACTGACTAATAGTGTGAGGACTCTGTCTTTTCTAATTGCTAAATTGATGCTGTCAAGTTTCCTAGATAAACTGGCTGAAGATGCTGAAAGTGTTCGTAAGAAAGTCCTGGGGCAGGAAGTACAGGAGGTGTGAGACCAGGCACTCATGATCAAAGCTCGTGGCATCTACTGTCATACCCTGACTTTTGCAGGTTTTCTGTTCATGGATTTCATTATTCACAAGTTTGCTATCAATAATTAAATAGGATTTTTTTTTTAGTTTTGCAGCCTACTGTGGAGAATCACAGATGATGCATGTAGACTAGAAAATGTAAAGAAAACTTTTTTTAAAAACTGTGTGTCATAAATGTGGGGGGCTGTGTGTATGCCCATACTCAGCAAAAGCTGAGTGTCTCGAGGTGACCAGAGGCCTGGAGTGCAGGTCTACTGAACAGCCCCACTGCCAAGACCCGAGGCAGATTCATGAGTTCCACCTGGGGAGCCCTGGGGAAGCGCTATATAAGAGCCAGCTCTTCCCCACAGAAGCTGCCTTGGCACTGAAGGTCTCCTGATGTCGGTGAAGCCATTCCTAGTTGGCTCCAGTGCCCTGCCTCTGATCTGCTCCTCCCTCCCTCCCTCCCTCCCTGACTGTTCTGCCTTCCTTGGTTCTCCGACCTTTGGCTCACTCTGGACTACGCTACCTGTCTCTATGGACTTGGTTTTGCATTGACTTCCGGCTTGACCTTGGACTGTGTATTGGACTTGTCACACCCTGTCTGCCTGGGGCCTTTACCTTGCTAGCCAGCTGGTCTTGCCTCAGATGCTGACCTCCCACATACTAGCCTGGCAGTCACTGCACCTCCCGTAGCCTCTCACCTGTGCCCCACCACCCAGCATCTCTATCAACAGAGAGAAAGAGAAGGAAGCAAGAAAGGTTTTTTGGGGGAGGGATATTTGTGGTTTCTCCACTTTCATGGGTGTCCTGTGCCCCTAACACCAGTGAATGTGAAGGGCCTACTGTATATGCATTCTATTAGAATGTATTTTGTTTGAAACAACATTCATTGTAAGCCATTGTAAACATTGGTAGAAAGCTGAGGTACAAATTAAATAAGATACATGCAAAGTTACGGGGCTCTTTTTTGTTCTGGGCCTCCACGGGTCAGGATGCAGCCCTGTCAGGGCCTTTCCGTTGCTGTCCTCCTTCATCATCCTAATGCACCACTCAGAAATAACCCCCAAAGGAAGAGCGGGTCATTTTGTTCTGTTTGTGCGTCTGTCTTCTTTCACATTGGTGAGTTTCCCCACTGGTGAGTACCAGGAAGCAGGTGCAGCTAGACTTCCATTCATTGGCACTGCAGGATGCAGCAATGTGTCCAATGAAAGAGAAGGAGAACAGGGAAAATTAGCACTTGACTCTCCCAATCTGTCAAAATGGTCAGGACCTAGATTTGTTCACACAGGAACATACCCCCAGGATGACAGGAAGAACAAATGTGCATGCATAGAACAGATGTGGATGTTAGCATTTCAGACCACAGATCTGTGGGCTTGCTTTCTTCTGCACCTGCATGGCTCGCTGCCACAGAGTCTTTTGTGAGAGAAATCCAGCTTGTTCTCAGACCAACACCTTTTCTCCCATCACGGCCACTCCACCAAGGCTGGGGTTGTGTGGGGAGGCTGCCGGAACACCAGTGAAAACTCTGCAAGCAAAAATTACACACACATCCATATATGGCATTGTTTGGGGTTTCTTCTAATGATAGAGGCTGAAAATCTGTTGCAGAATATTTAAGTACCAGTTAACATGTGCTCAGTAAACACTTGGTTTAAGAAGCTAAGCTATGCTCTAAATCAGTGGTGGCGAACCTATGGCACGGGTGTCACAGTGGGCATGCAGAGCCCTCTGTGTCGGCACGTGAGCCAAGTTGCGCCAGCATGGCCCCAGCAGCCGAGCATCGAATGACAGTGCACATAGGGGCCATGCACATGCTCAGAAAGTAGTGGTGGTGCCAGGCAGTAACATCACAAGCCACGACACATTAGCCGTGACTCGTCCGAGCTTTCTCATGGCTGGTCAGTCCGCTGCCAAGGGTGGGTGGATGGATGGATGGATGGATTTTTGCTTGGACTGGCTGTGAGTTGTTTTTTCTAAACTAAAACCTCAGCATTCAGGTTTCATTGCAGTGCGGGCACTTTGTGAGGAATAAGTGGGGTTTGGGTTGCAGTTTGGGCACTCAGTCTCTAAAAGGTTCACCATCACTGCTCTAAATTATTTCATTTCATTTTCATAAAAAGGTCACAAAGTATGCTTGACCTTTCCTCCTCCTGTATTCTCTCCTCTAGGTTTTCTTCCCCTTTCTCTTTACACTTTGTAGCATTAATGCCACAATTCCCCAGCTCTGCTCACATTTCATACATGACAGCGGTCAAGGAGCACAAGAGACCAGGAAGTGTTTCTGCAAAAGCCCCATCAAGGTGACGAGTGTCACATTCCAAGAACTGTTGCTAGTTTTCTGCAACTGGCCTTTGTTGAGTTACTCTGCCAACAAGAGACACTCCATAGTCAACCTGCGTGCTTTGCTACACCTTTGCAAATAAAGGCCAATGAGCAATGTACCGAAAAGGAGGTGCTACACCTGGGGTAAAACACCGTTAGAGAGCGAGCCTTTTCCTCATTGCAGTTTTAGGACAACCTCCATCGTCAGGTGCTTACCACCTTTTCTGAAAGTCTCTTCAAAAGGAAATGGTCTTGCATAAAGCTTTTCTCTGTGCAGGAAATTTAGCCACGTTTCCCACTAGCAAATGCAGTTCAGGAAATACAAAGAACGGCAGGGCCAGAACTGGTGACCGCAACGTATTTCTTTCCTGACACTGGAGAGCAAAGTCACTGGAATTCTCCAGGGAAAGAACCTGGTAAGTTTTTCTCTAAATACCATTAGCAGAGACTTATGGCAGTGTTGTGTGTGCGTGCGTGCGGGGGGGAGAGCTGTGACCCTCCAGATGTTGCTGGACTACAGTTCCCATCAGTCCTAGCTAGTGTGGCAAATACTGTAATCTAGAAATCCAATTTGCTTAGGGTGCTTCTACACTAGGATCTTGTTTGGCAACTGTACTGTCTCCTTCCTGGAATGTTTTGCCATCCAGACCACGACTTCCATGTTTTCCCACCACTTCTTTTGCAATTTTTTACTTTCCCCAAACACTCAGGTAAGGAGGAAAATAGTTAACAGATGTCTTTGGACTGGTAGCACAAGGAGCTGTTGGTCCAGATGCTCCTGCAACCTGCTGTCTCTGAGAGAATTAGGATGTGAAGTCATAAATATTTGAAGCAGAACAGATGTTTGAAATGCAAACCTCAAGTTTGTTACATTTGGAAGTTCTGCTAAATATCAGATCAATATGTTCTGACTGTCCTTGCTTTATATGTTGCATTCATCTGGGTATTTTCACATTATATTATCTGTTACTTCCCTTCCACTCTTTTATTCATTTATTTGTTTTATAGCCTGTCTTTTTTTTTTTCAAAGAACTCCAAATGGCATATCCTCCTCCTCCTACGTTCACTCTTATCCCCACAACAACCCTGAGAGGTAGGTTGGACTGAGAGTCTGTGACTGGCCCAAAGTCACCACGTTGGCTCCATGGCTGAGCAGGGACTAGAACCCAGATCATCTGAGTCCCAGTCCCATGCTCTTAACTAGTACACCACACTGGCTACTGTATTTTATCATTTTCTTACATCATGTTTAACTTCTTCAAGGGATAAATAAACAAGAGAAGGGCAGGAGAGAAATTTAAATCCTGTAAATGAATACATTTTTTCCATCCTCAGTTTCAGGCACCAACTTCTGGCTGGAGTGTTGTGTATAGAAAACTGGACCAGCATGCTGTCTCCATTGACCCTCTGCTTTCTCTTTGTTCTCCCAGGGGTGGCTGATGCTCAGTATGGAAGGGGTGAGTCTCTTGTGTTGGAAGTAAGTGGAACCTGAGAAACCATCATGCTTTTCCTCCTCAAAATATTTAGTGCCAGGATTTGGTTCGAGACAGGACTTGTAAGGGCTACTCTCATATCTTTTCAGTACTTGCTCTTGGTCCCAGCCTGCCCAATAGCACGACACGTGCCATTTAGGCTGTGTGTGATGTGCTGTCAAGTCATCTCTGACTTATGGCCACCCTACCCATGAAAACCCTCCACGTGCTGCCCATGACAGCTCCATTCAATTCCCCCAAGTTCAAGGCTGTGGCTTTTTATCGATTCAGTTCATCTCCTGTTTGGCCTTCCCAAATATTTCTCCACAAAGAAGGGTCATCTGCTGGTCTCTGGCAACATCACACCCAGTCACACTGTGCCCCGATCTCACCCAGGATAGTCCACATGGGCTGGCTGCAGCTTTGGGGTGTCAGAACAGCATCTTCCCCAGTCCCACCCAGGCAAGGCGGACTGAACCTGGGGCTTCCTGCTGCGTGGCGCACATGCTGCTCTGGAGGTCAGGGCTTCTGCTAACCCAGACAGCACAGGAAACTGCTTAGCGGCTTTTTATGGGTGACTCAATTTTTGCCCACATTCACGCAAGTCAAGTCAAACCAGGACAACAAGAGTGCTCCCGTTCGTACCTCATTGCTCACCAGCCTTCCCATTCAGCAACAATTAAAACGCGTGCCTTCCTACAGGCTGGCATTGGGCAAACCCCTCGGGTTGTGCTCCATTAATAACTGGGACCTATCAGGTTCGGGGAGCATCCTGTGTGCTGCTCCAGAATATGGCTGGATTTCCTGGTGCCCCATTCCTGCTGGGGCCTTCACCCTGTAGGTGCCCCCCACCCCCCCGGTGTAGTCCCGACAGCCCTGCAAATGCATTCATTGATGGGGCTGGGTCAGCCTGGCCCCTTTTGCGCTGTGCTAGTTGCAACTTGCCCAGAATTGTTGCTTCATCGGGGACACAACTGGAAGCACCGACTGCTCAGACTGGGCAGGTCAGCTTGTCTCAGCTGCCTGATGCTTCCTTGGCGTTCAGAAAGTCTCACTCCATATTTGGGCATTAAATGTCACCCTTTGCAGTGTATGCTTTGGGCAGGAAGGGGAAAAACCTGTGTTGCCTTCTGATCACTAAAATAAAACGAAATACAAAACACCACTCAAGCAAAACCAAAACATGCACAAAATCCCTTGTGTTTCTGAGCAAAAAGTAGGCATGCTTTACTACACTCAGCTGTCTAAATCTATTCTCTTCTCCAATGTGATTTCTCTAATTCTCCTTGTTGCCCTCCCCAACCCCATTCCATACATCTCTGGGGTCACCTCCACCCCACTTTAAAAATGGCCTTTCTCAAAATCTACTTTACCCATAATTCCCAAGTGCAGTCAAGGTTAGGTTACCAACTGCTCACACTCTTAACCAGCAAAGAAATCAGGTCCAGAATGATAACTTAATGATAAATAAATAAACTTGTACTGCCTAGAGATCCATTGGGTTATGGGGTAGCTTAGAAGTGGAATGAAATACATAATTAAAGGAATGTGATAACATGAATTCACCTTGCAGCGTGTTTCAAGTGGTTGACCAATATCTGAATTCTCCTTGCAGGTGCATCCTCTTCCATGACTCCTGGGAAAGGTCACCCACCTGCCGGACTAAGACACAGGAAAGGTAGACATCCCATCATCTCAGGAACACCCAACCAGCTGGATGTCCTCACAGAAAGTCCAGTGCTACATGGTAACCATCAGAACAGGAAAACA